ATGACTCTTTTTTGGATTTACAAAACTTTTGTACAGATTTAATATCTAAACAACCAGAAAAGATTTTTAGTTCACCTGATTTTACTTCAATTTCAGAAGAATCTTTGACCACTCTTATTCAACATGATGATCTTCAAATGAGCAAAGTTCAAATTTGGGAATATGTACTTAAATGGGGTACTAGGTGTAACCCGTCGCGCTGCGCTGGGAATAAAACTTGCCCAGAAAAGTAACAATGATATGGCTATATTTAGAATATTATTTACAGTAGTATGATAAGGTTAGAAGAAAATAATCTAATAAATTTATATAATTTACGTATTTATACTAATAAAAGTGAATTGTGTATGAATCCCTGTAAAAAATCTGATCCGTGTTTTATCTTTCCATGTTTTTTCCGTGAAAGTATCATTTTCATGGAATTAATAGCCTTAAATCATGGAAATTTTCATCTCGCTAACACGGATATCCGTGAATGTATCATTTTCACGGAATTTTTACGGAAGACACGGAGAAATAATGGAAATATTCAGATAAAAATTTTTTATAGGGAATGTTATATATAAAATATTACATATGAAATATTGTTATATATACAAAATGTTTCTCGTCTTGCAGTTCTCACCATTATCTATAAAAACCTAATATGTTGATATACAGTTAATCTTGAAAGGCAACATATAATTAATTGCTCATGTGTAAAGACAGGTTCAGGTAGGTAAACATCAACCCTTCTCAGAGTTTGCCCTTGTGATTTATTAATTGTTATTGAGAATGCAACACATACTGGAAATTGACATTGATTCAAAGTAAAGTCTCATCATTTTTCACCTCATATTACTTCTCATTATTCGTCTCCCATTATTTTCTTCATTTTCCATAATTTCTTTTTCTCTCCTGTTTACTTCCCATCATTTCTTTTTGTCTCTCATCACTTCTTTTCGTTTCCCATCACTCCCATCACTCCTTTTCGTCTCTCACCATTCCTCCCTATAAAAAATTTTTATCCGAATATTTCCATCATTTCTCTGTGTCTTCCGTAAAAATTCCGTGAAAATGATACATTCACGGATATCCGTGTTAGCGAGATGAAAATTTCCATGATTTAAGGCTATAAATTCCATGAAAATGATACATTCACGGAAAAAACATGGAAAGATAAAACACGGATCAGATTTTTTACAGGGCCTCTTCGTCTCCCATCACTCCTTTTTATCTCTCACCACTCCTCTTCGTTTCCCATCACTCCTTTTCGTCTCTCACCACTCCTTTTTGTCTTCAATAACTCCTCTTCGTCTCCCATAACTCCTTTTCGTCTCCCATCACTCTTTTTCGTCTCCCATCACCCCTCTTCGTCTCCCATCACTCCTTTTCGTCTCCCATCATTTTTCTTCGTCTCTCATTACTCCTTTTTGTCTCCCATCACTTTTCTTCGTCTACAATCACTCCTTTTTGTCTCCCATCACTCCTCTTCGTCTCCCATCACTCCTTTTNTCATTACTCCTTTTTGTCTCCCATCACTTTTCTTCGTCTACAATCACTCCTTTTTGTCTCCCATCACTCCTCTTCGTCTCCCATCACTCCTTTTTGTCTCCCATCACTCCTTTTCATCTCCCATCACTCCTTTTTGTCTCCCATCACTCCTCTTCATCTTCCATCACTCCTTTTTGTCTCCCATCACTCCTCTTCATCTTCCATCACTCCTTTTCGTCTCCCATCATCCCTCTTCGTCTCCCATCATTCCTTTTCATCTTTCATCACTCCCCTTCATCTTCCTATCACTTCTTTTCGTCTCTCATCACTCTTTTTCATCATCCATCATGTCCTATTTTTCCTTTTTGTTTCCTATCACTCTTCATTACTCTTTTTTACTCCCTTTCTTCTTCTATTACTTTCCATTACTCCATTGTTATTTCATTTTTTTATTAGCATCTTTCTCCTTGATCATTATAATTTACTTATCTTTTTTATTTATTGTTATTGTTTTTTTATTTGTATCACTTCATTAAAAATAAATACAGTGATTTTTTTCTTTAAAATCGAAAATGTGGGACTTAAATTTTAATATTTGCAAATAAAATTTCATTAAATAAGATTATTTTGAATGTAAAAAAATTTTTAAAATATCTTCTCAATAAAATTTTAACCGATCAAAAATTAGCTAAGAAAAAAATCAGCCATCAATCGATTAATAAATTTACTTTATATATTGTACATCATGTGACACATTGACAGATGATCCGTGCCTTATATAAAGGAGTAACGTAAATTGATCTAAAATAGTAATTTTACGTTACTTACTTAGCCAATTTCCGTTACTTACTTGCTACTGTTACCGGTTATATCGGTAAATAAGGAGTCGCAAACTATTTATATTATATCGTAATTCTACACGATTACCAACGGGATTCTTACTCAATACTACCTATCCTGGTATTCCGGTATTGTTCGTTAAGAATCAACGAGGCAAACAACTACAAAAACACGATAAACAATAATACGCAATAGTTATAAGATGAATTTCACAGAAACAACAAGTCAAATAAATGAAGTATAACAATTTATTAAATAATCGCAGGATTTGAGTGTACAACACACGATGAAAAGTGACGAAAAACGTCAAGGGGAATAGAGGTCTATTATTTATGGTAATATATATATAAAAACCCTAATATCTCTTTCAACGCGTTGGCAGACGACGTATTTATATCTAGCCGAATTTTCTGCCATCTCCTTTTCTGATACTAGGGGTGAAATCTAATCTATTGAGATCTATGTTTTATTGCGATGTTTCATATTGTATCAACACTATTGTAAGCCACTTTTAATAAACACAATAAACACAAGACGTCAGTTTTAGACGTTTAATCACTATTGAGTTAATTTCCCCACAATGTCTTCTAATAAAATTGTATACATATAAATAATACAAATAAAGAAAATAAATACTAAATAATAATCAACTAAATAAATATACTAATGATATATATGTAAATTCAACGTATAAAATCAATATCTCTAATATAGTTAACTGATATACATAAATCAGCAATTATACATCGGCGTAAATCAACTCGTAACACCGGAAATCGACGTGTACACAAACGTACGAAATTCTTGTCGGATCAGCAATGTAATATCGGAAATCATGTGCGCAAAAATTCGCGTAACACTACCTACTGATTTTATAGTTAGGTTATTAGCTTACTACGGATTTATAATTATATAGATTTGACAAATAAATTCATACAAACCTATATGTTTGCCGATCAAATAAATGGCCTTAACTTTTAAGTTTAAATCAGGCACTGAATCATGCTACACAATTCAAGATTATTTATACAGACTTAATCTAAACGTTAGAAGATCGACATGTATTTTTTTATTATATTATTATATAGAAGATATATAGATATATCATGCTAGAAAAAAAAATATAATAATTATGTATGTGCTATGACTTACCTCCCCAGCTTGTATGATGCATCATATCACCACCGCGAACTAGACTCGATGATTCCGATTACATTTTAAGCAAGTGAGGCGTACAGTGCATTCCCTTTGATATGTCCCAAAATATTCGATCTACTGTCTATTGTAATATGTCTCCTGGTTGATCCCATTCGAATTTCATCTATAATGCAATTGTCTTTTTAACATACTAGGAATCCGGCCAACTGATAAATCGTTTTCATGGCCGTTTTTTATGTCCTATTACTTTTCCTGAATAGAAGGTCTTAATTCGTGTTCCAGCCTTCTTTTCTTTTTTGCCTCCTCTCTTTCTTGGGCAATTTTAGGAGGTAATGAAGGAGCTTCAATCCGGACAAGCTGGCTCAAATATTCTACACGACCAATTGCAAGTTAAATTAGATTGTTCCAGGCTAGGTTTTCATCAATGAGCCAAACACGCTGTGGGTACAAAATTACTATAACACAGATTTGATAATTGAACGGAATGCAAAAATTATGTAATTTATCACAATGTGTTTTATCCTTTTAACTTATATGGGATGTGTAAAATGAAAATATTATTATAATGTATGTATTATACTACTATGTAAATGCATTGTATAGCAAGAATGAAATTTTTTATCAAGCAATGATGAATTATCAATAATATTAATACAAAGCAAATACTGTAGATAAAGAACGGATTAAAACTTTTTGTGTGCTACATTATAAATTTGAACAATAAAGATGAGTACAAGTATTACGGATTCTTTGAATTGATTCGTTTTTCTCTTTTAATATACCGAATTTGTATTTTACTTTATCATTGAGAAAACTCCATTTCTCGTTAAGTAGTCCAAGTTGGCGTTGGTTTGCTCAAATCCCACATCGATTATCTCCTCAATGTCTCAACTCTTTCTTTCATGGTCTTGTTTCTTTCCCCAAGGTCTCTATTTTTTCCGTCAACTTCTCGTTCATAATTTTTATTTCCTAAAAATCAATGTTATTATATAAAACAGGTGGCACCATTTAAGGTTATGTACATACTTCTTTGATTCCAATAATGTGATAGCACATTTCAAACACTTTCACAATGGTGATTAAAGTTCCAAAGAATTTTAAGAATTTTACAATATTAAGAAATAAATTGAAATAATAATAATAATCTAAAGATATACAAACTTGTTAATATATTAACAAGGAAACGGTGCAGAAACACTTTCTTACCTAAGTCTTGTGATACAATCGAATATTCCGTCCATATTTTATAAAATGTCTGTATGATACAAAAATTGCGGATTGAAAACAATTGAAGATTTATGAGAGATAAATAAAAAAATAGCAAGTGAAGCAAAAGATAAAGAAACTTCAGTAAGTTTAATTTTATTATTTATTTATATTAATTTTTTTTCGGATCTCTATCCACACATCATTATATTTATGTCTGATCATGATTACATGACTAGTAGTCTAATAGTCTATAAAATCCAATCTTATGTCATTATTTCGTAACCGTTAATTTGAAATTTACTAACACAGAGAATATGCGAAAAATTAAATATCTGTGTATTACTGTATAAGTTACTGATTATAGGAGATCGAAACTTTTGGATGCTTGATTAACGAACTCCTTAATTTTTCGTATCCTTTCTGGAATAACAATTTCTGGGTTTTGGTCATACCGTACTTCAATAAGGAAAATTCCATTATCCAGATTCCAGACAAATGCATCTTTTTTACGATTAACGATGTCCTCGAGTTTTTTGACATCTTTATACCAGCTAGTGCTATGAAGCCGATGTTGAGCCCCTTGCACCTCTAATGCTATTCGATATTTTTGGAAAAAGGCATCAAGCTCTAATCTATTCAAGAAAGGAGGACGATATTCAATCATAGGTTCTTCATTAGGGAATTTGCGATTTTTCTTAGATTCTCTTTCTGCCTGATCCTGCTCTAGTTTTAAAATTCTGCCTCAAACTCAGCGAAACTCTGTCTCAATGCTTCAAGCCTAGCTTTCTCGTCAGTTTTCTTAGCCTCAAGCTCAGTGATCAATACTTCAAGCTCAGATGACGATAGATAATATTTTTATACATGAAAGAATTATTCAATGTTACGTGACAAATGCAAATGTAAAATCACTTTATTAATACACGCAAAAAATAAATACAAAGCTCGGGACTGTGCCCGTGATACGTAAATTTTCTATACTAATGACTGCGGACTAATGCCGCCTATTTTTCTTGATTTTTTTTTTTTTTTTTGATTATTTCTTCTACACGGCGCTTCTTAGTTGCGGGTTCATCACTACCTCCTAAGAGCTCTATCCTTTAATAAACCTACTATAACCTCTAAAACTCTCTTCACTCTTACGCAATGCTGTATCATCTTTGAGAGAATCTTCTGTAAGTGAAATTCGATACTCTGCTTGTACTATAGATAACTTCGGTGCTGTGAAGAATGAAGTACCGGTCGGTTCCGGTACTGACTATACCATAGACGTATTCGTAATCGGGATCGAACGCCTGATCAACCTTTCGCTTTTTCTTGTTCATATTTAATATTCATCTGGAGGGAAATAGCGAAGTAAGTTAGCAATAGCCCATGATCAACCTGTAGCGAGCGGGGTAGCAGGATTTGTTATACTTACATCACAAGCACTTCGACATTGTAGTAAGTTTCGGCAAATATCCACAGTCGCCTGATTTTGTTTGCCCTCGGTTTAGTCGGTTATGCAAATTATTTCCTCCAACATCTCGCTGATAATTTTTTTAATTGCATAGTCAACACAGCGTGTTTTCTTCGCCAATTATATTCGCCTGAGGGCTGAGTTGTGATTACAAAACCGTCGATAAGACTTACAGCCGCATGTAAGATTGTTGAAATGTACTAGCACCGCATAGCTTCATATTTTTTATCCTACGGAGAATGTCGTCAATGCATAGCTTAAATTCGGGGGCGCTTTTCGTTGATCGTGTGGGTGGCTATATTATGATACGTGAGCTCGAATATATTAAAAAAGATCCATTTAACCTGACGTGGTATGAACTGTGGAATGCGATTATATCCCGCTAATAATCTCATATTTCTCCAGCACTTCACTCAAGTCTTTCTTAGTCTTGTACGAGGAGAACGACCTCAGCCTTCTCCTTGCACTCCTTAGTAAAGTCTATGAGAGCTGTAGCAGGTCCCAATTTCATTCCATGACGCTCAAGCTCTTCTTTGGTTATTTTGGAGAAGGTACGGCCATTAACCTCGTTCTAAAATTTTGATTTTGAGAGCTGTCTCACTAAGCCCTAAGTCTTCCTGACCCTTCAAAAACGAGATAAGTCCAGCCGTATCATATGTTTAACTTCGTCCGCGAGTCATTTCTAGAGACAGGTGTATTAGTTTCAGACTGGGATATTGGGCTCGGATAAAAAAATATGTGTTACGTTCCTGGAGTTAATGTAGGTTTTACGTCGCACAAGCATTGCATCATTACACGTGACTTTTAACCAAGGAATGCATTACAGTCAAAGCTCGTTATAGTGAATCTCGTTATAGTGAACATTAAGTAAAATCGCGTTATAGTGACCTATTGATTTTTTTCTTTATAATTAATTTCTCTCGATATAGTGAATTTTCTTAATAAATCTCGTTATAGTGAAAAAAAGGGAAAAAATTACATAGTGGAACGGAAAGTTCACTATAATGAGCTTTGACTGTATACCTTTACAGTATGATGTTTAGATTGGGAACTTGGATATGTTATGACTATTCACACTAGCCAGTGCATGACCCACAGGTTATCGATGAAAACCTAGCTTGGGATAACCTAATTTATCTGGCAGTTGGTCGTGTGGAATACTTTGAGTCAGCTCATTCGGGTTGAAGCTCCTCCATTACCTCCTGAAATTGCTCGAGAGATTGAGGAGACAAAAAGAAAAGAAGGCTGCGAATATAGTACATACATTGTCCGAAGCGTATACTACTGAACTAGCAAAATTTGTTTTAACCCCGTTTTTGTCCCTGTCACAATCGACAATTTTATTTCCTTTTTTTGAATATGTATCACGATATGTAACACTACCTATTTGGCCCCTGAAATATGCCAAATAAATAAATTACACGTAGGTCACGTAACATTTGCGAGTTATGCAACGCGAAGGACTTAAACGGTTTCCGTTTTCCTAGTAATATTTTGATCCATATAAGTTAAAAGGATAAAAACTTTTTGCATTCCGTTCAACCTCAAAGAGTGCGAAAACCCACGCCTTACCGAATCCTCCAATTTTAAGCCTACCACTTATGAAACTCCAGAATTAATTATCAAATCTGTGTTAGAGTAATTTTGCACTCACAGCGTGTTTGGGTCATTGATGAAAACCTAGCCTGGAATAACCTAATCTAACTTGCAATTGGTCATGTAGAATATTTGAGCCAGCTTGTCCAGATTGAAGCTCCTTCATTACCTTCTGAAATTGCCCAAAAAAGAGAGGAGGCAAAAAAGAAAAGAAGGCTGGATTTTAGACCTTCTATTTAGGAAAAGCTTATTGGATATTTGTACTAGGACAAGATAATTGGCCATGAAAACGATTTATCAGTTGACTGGATTCCTAGTATGTTAAAAGATATTAAATGCGCATTATAGATGAAATTTGAACAGGAGATATATCTCAATAATACTTTGGGACATATCAAAGGGAATGTACCGTCTGCTTAGAATGTAATTAGAATTATCGAGTCTAAAATAAGCTAAAATGATAAGTGATAAAAAGCATTCATCCAGTAACATGCCTAGCGACTTGGAGGAACTCAAAAAGATAAAGAAATTAGCTAAGCTAGTGGGATTCAATGAGCAATATTCTATATTGTATAGTGTGTTTTCTGGAGAAATTAAACCGTTAGAGAAAAATTGGATGACTATCATTCCCAGCATGAAAAGCTTAAAAAGAGGACAAATCAACTAGAATGAATGTAAATTGGATGGAAAACGAATTAGAAGATTTGGACGAATGTGGAACTAATGATACTGTAGTTGACTTAATAAATGAAATGGTTCTTTGCAAGAATCAAAATAATAAGTACTGGGAGTTCAGTTCATCTAAGTCCAGCTCATCTGATTCTGAAATACTGATGAGAAGAAAGATTTCATGAAGAAATCCTCTGTGACGTGACCGATATCGACCGTTTGATCCACCACCGTCTTGACTACCCGTTTGACCGGAAAATAATGAAATTTCAGTTTATTATTTTAGGATTTTGATAGGGTATAAATCCTTCTTTATTTTTTATTAAAAAAATAAATTCATTTTGATAAAATATTTTGACCTTTATATTTGGTCATTTCAATGACAAATTTGGTCAAAACTACTGTATATATAGTACCGGAAATAATTCTCAATAACAGATAATAAAAATTTTCTACTATTGATTTGGAAAACAAGGTCTTTTTGATACAATTTAATTTAAAGTATAAAAACATTTACAATTAAATATTAATCTGAAATACTTCATATTCTTCTACAGAACTATTACACTTGATCGATTTTTCATAATAAGTCTTATAACATGCAACCGTAAGTTCATTACCAAATGTTTTAAAGTCTTCCCCACCAAATGATGGACCGTAACCAGAATAATAATATATAGCATGTTTTTCATCTATTACTCGACTTAAAATATGATTTTCGATATCTCCATCATTCTCAAAAGAAAATATAAAACTATCTTTAGTTTCACCATAACGAGATACAGCCGTGTCATTAGAAGCCCATATGATCGGATTATACCCTCCAAAAATTCTATTGCTAAATTTATTTTTAAAAATTACTACAGTATGAGATTGATTATCACAAATTTCATGGAATTTTTTAGGAGTGAGCCCATCACGAGAACCACGAAGAATTAATTTGAATTCATATAATTTTCTTATCTCGTCCGTAACCTCTAATCTATCAATCCATTTTGAGATTATTTCAACATGAACATTTTGAAATGATTCAATTTTTGAATCAATACTTTTGGAACTAATTTCTTTAATTATCTGCGGTTCTACCCTGCTACTTGAATTATAATCATAATTCAAAAAATATTTAAATAAATCATCAAGTAATTCCTCGGGTATAATCTTTTTATATGGATATACCTTATCAAAAAATTCTTTGGGAGTGAAATCAATAAATTTAACAAAAGGGATAGATGATTGTAAGGTATTCGTTAAAGCATTAAAATTATCTTTTGAATAGCTTGAAGGATCTGATGAAAGTTCGGGATTTTGAGCAATACCCCATTTAAGTACATATTCCCAAACTTGAACTCCGCTCATTTGAAGATTATCATGTTGAATAAGAGTGGTCAAAGATTCTTCTGAAATTGAAGTAAAATCAGGTGAACTAAAAATCTTTTCAGGTTGTTTAGATATTAAATCTGTACAAAAGTTTTGTAATTCCGAAAAAGAGTTATTTTCAAAGCTCGTTTGATATATCAAGCTAAAATTTTGTTCCATCCAGTGTGATTCGTTTTTAATCAAAAATGATTGTAAATGAGGAATCAACTCCTGAAGACCTAATTCACTGGCGGTTACCAAGATTTTAACAATATCTAAAGTTTCATATTCTACCAAAAAAAGTCTTCCGCTATAAATATATCTGAATAAAAGAATGATAAATTGAAATTTATGATCTTATAATTGTAAAATTAATCTAAATTTCTTACCTTAGAATTATTTGAAAAATTTCAGGTAAAATATTTGGTAATTTAATATGTGTTAAAGTTTCGTCGGATTTTTTTTTGTTAGTTGACAAAATTCTTCGCAAATAAAGAGAACGAGAACTTAAGATAACCATATGAGCACGAAATACTCTCACGTAAGGGTCATTACCAACTTCAATTGTAATATCATAATATTCATCATTATCATCATCCAAAATACTGAGTAAATTTTGAGATAATTTCGGCAAAAATTTATCGTCCATTTTAATTAGCGCAAGAGAGAATTTAATTTAAAAATGGCACTTAAATCTCGGATACGGCAGATTATAAGTCCGAAAGCCACATTCCTGATTTGCCGATCGGCTGATAATCAAAAGGCGAATTAAGATTTAGTTCGCTTATGCATAGTGCTTCGACCCGGATGAAAACCGTCATCCGGATTACACAAAAAAATAATCCGGATTATATCCGGATTGACCCGGATTTTGAATCCGGATCAGATAATCCGGATAGAAACCGGAAACCGGATTGGATTTACAAATGGTCGGCAATAATTCTGGCCAGAATTCATAACGCCGGCCAGAATTACAAATTGTGTGACATTAAATTTTCATGCCAGCCGATAAAAAATTTTTTGCCCGGTGGCTAAACTATTTTTCCGGTGTCACGTGATGTTAATTTCGGCCAGAATTACAAATTTGGCCAAAATTATCCAAGACTACGAAATTTACATAATTCCAATTTCATTAAATATTTTTATTTAAAACAATTTCATATTATTTCAGCATTGTCTCAGACTATTGCTTAACATTTCTTTGTAAATTAACTAATTATGAAATTTTAAACAAGATATTTTTATATACAGCTAAAGATTACTATAAATAGATGTGTTGGGTTAGTAAGGCAATTTTTAAAGGATTTGTTTCTTCTTTCAAAAATTAAAGAATCATTTGAATCAAATTATATAACACTAGTTTTAATTTTTAAAAAAAGTTGTTATAATTATATAAATTTATAATATTGAACAATTTTTCATTTAAAACAATAATTATTATTTTGTTGTAACAAAAATAATATAAAGTTTTTTTTCTTTTGAACGTTTGAATGTGAAATCTAAAATTATTTGTTATTTGTTAATGTATAAATTTAAATAAACAAATCTGATACAAACTTCAATAAATAAATTATAATTGAAAAATCTTCTTAAACTTACTGTATTAAAAAGTTTAATATAACAAATATAAATTTAATAAATTTTAATAAAAAAATTGGTATTAGGCGCAAAAATAATTAGCCATAATATCATTTAGATATAGATCTTTATGGATCAGCAAAATTATTATTAATAAAAAAAAAAAATAATAAAAATTTCATCCGGATTCCGGGTCAAACCGGATATTTTTCATCCGGTTTATAATCCGGATGAAAACCGTGAAAATCCGGATATCCGAAAAAAAAAAAAATCCGGATCAATCCGGATTGATCCGGATACGGGTCGAGGCACTACTTATGCAGTCTACACGAATTTCTGTGCAATGATGTAATCGGCAAGTCTGTGCGACAGGAGAAATGTAGCAATAAATGAAGTTGGATCGAGAAACCACCTAAGAGGCGTATTCATGTCTTAGTCGAACTGTCCGTGTTAACCGCCTCTTCGAGCCGTGAACAGGAATTACTTAATCGAATTGCATCGTTGAAGGAATCGCTTAACAAGTCAGTCCATGGTACTTGGATTGGACACTATTACCCGCAGCAAAATCTTATTAATATCACAGCTGAGCGAGATCAAATTAAATGCTGAAAATAGGCGAGTAGAAGTTCTTAGACAACAATTAAGGAATAACAGAAATCAGAATTTACGGATACAGCGATTATTAAATGAATCTCAGGGAGAGCGGGATTTGGCCATCCTGACATGATACTATAATGAGAGAGATGCATATGGAGATTGTCGGCGAATAGCTCAACAGAGGCAGGCGCGAATTACCACATTATTGCAAGAAAAATTTGCCTTTCGATTATTAAGCCAACTCAGCACAATGGTACTCAAATTGCTGAGCATAGAAGAAATGCTCACAGAATGACTGTACACTATAATAATAATCATGATAGAGAGAGATGGAGAAGAAGGCATGCGGGTTGTACTCTCCAAGCCCGAATTGGAAAGGCCAATATCGGAATGTACAGAACAGTAAACATCTAATCTATTTACCCTTCCTGGATTATAATTAGGAATTGTTAGCTGGATAAGAAAACAAATTAGCTTTCATAATGAGTGAGAGGCGCCGGGATCATAAAAAAAGAATTTAAGATATTGTAGCAGGAAAATAATCAGGAAGGCGCAAATAGGCAAGAAAACAAATTAGTGATCCTGATCACTGATCAGTGAGGGGGCTAAAGTACTGTACATTCTAAGTGATCATATAACAGGAATTCAGTAACTCGGGCTTAAAGCCTTGAAAACAAAATTTGCAATCCCTGGGATATTTTGGCGAATTCTAGTATAAAATAAGTCGTATAGCTAGAGCACAATCGATTGGGTAATACCTAAATCCACTCCCCTCCTGTTGCTGAAAAAATATAAAACTATGTATACTGTATAGACCTACAAAAATTAAAGCCAGCAGCATCTCACAAACTAACATTTTTTCGGTGATACAAAAAGTTATGTTGTACGTTATCTGCTAAATCCACAGACAGTTATTCTCGGTAATTTTTTGCAGATAAATTGACAGTTACCATTTCTCTATTGTACAAGCATAAAAGGTATTTATTTGAGACTTTTGTCTGATTTGGCTTGCCATAATATTGACGAAATATTTAACGACAGATATTCGGAAACAGATATTTATATAATTGAAAACAGATATTTATTTGATTAGAGACAGGTATTTACTTTATTTGAGACAGATATTTACTTGATTAACGACAGATACATATTTGACTAGCGACAGATATTTATTTTATTAAACAGGTATTTTACTTGATTGCAAACAGATATTTATTCGATTGACGACAGAAATTATTTATCTAACTGCTAAATACAATTAGCATTATATCTACTAACTGCTAATAATATTCTCAAGATACAGTAATTACCTGTTAATATAATTTAGGTTAACTGCATCACAAGTAGTAACATCTATTCCAATCTATTTTAAAATTAACATATTCAGACAACAATTACAAAAAAGCAGGGTTTGACAGTTCTGAATATTACGATAGTAAAAACCTAAAAAAAAACATCACCTTTATGAATTATAAATTGTTGATGGACTGATGATGATTTGAATAATGATCAAGAAGATTGAATTTTCGATTCTTTCTTTTTTTTAATATATTCTAATTCCGATAGTATTTAGATTATATTAAAATATTTTATAAATGAAGTAATACAAAAAATCTTATTTTTCATTTTAAATTCATTATACTTTATATTTTGGATGGAATTGATTCTCATCTCGATATTTATTCAGTAGTCGAAGTAACGACTCTAGCATCGCCACCGAAAAGTAGCCGGATTTATTTGCCGGTTACATGTACTATATATCGAACTTTATTTTTCTACAAATAGAAATTTAAAGAATTTTTTTTATAGTCATAGTTTTGAATAATATACTGCGATGTGCTTATGTTTCTAATATAATTATTCCCAATACATTGCATAGTTTGATGATTTTTAGCAATTTAATATCTTTTCATTTTCTCCAATGACAAAATTTGAACATTTTTTAATCATAAATTAAGTGACTCTTCTTTTAAATATGAGTTTATAAAAAAATTATAGCGAAGAAAAGAAAATTTTAAATTGATAATTGAGAATGATTATCCAAAATCACATGTAACTGGCTGGCAATGCTGAATTATCACGTGTACGGTACACTGTACTTTCGCAATTCTAGTCAAGCAGTCAGAAATATCGATGTATATATATACATACACATATATAATATATGTACAGTATGTATAGTAATTGTGCTAAAGTATATAGATAATGAGTATGATATAACCTTCGTTGTATGTATGGTATAGTTTTTTATTTTATACAGTATAGTTTTTTTATCCGTACTGTATAACCACTCTAATCTTTATATTTTAAATAGCTAAATCCCTAACCCTAACCCTAACCCTAACCCTAACCATAACCATAACCCTAATTCTCCTAATCCTAACCCTAAGTCTTACCCTAATCCTTACCCTAATCCTAACCTTAAAGTAACAGTATACTGTATAAAATTAATAACTACACAGTATAGGCAATAAAAAACCATACCATACATACAATGGGGGTCATATCATACTCATTATCGTATTACCGATTGTGCTATGATGTCCTTCCATATTTGAATAGATTAATTTTCTTATTCTTTTTCCCGAAAAAACGAATCGGTAATATAATTAAATTACAGTATCATATCTATTAATACATTTCCAATAAAAAAAAAGTTATAGTGTTATCATCCTAAAAATTTTATTTGAATTTATTGACAAGATGACAAGATTTAAATTGATCCTTTAACTTATTGATGTCAAAATAATGGAATTTTCTCAAAAAACATGTCATAAAAATTGTATTAATATTATCATAATTTAAGTTTTCAAACCAAAATACAAAAAAACATGAAAAGTATCTTACTGTAACCGCCAATGAAACATTAACTGCGGGAATGCGGGATCATCATCAGTTTAATAAAACTCTTGGTGCGGTATACCGATTGAATAATAAATAAATATTTATTTACAGCTGTTATCATAAGTTACCAGAGAACCCAATAATATAATTTTTACTCTGAGTATTGGAGTATCTCTCGGCATGTGATTTGTGTAATAACCCAAACATTCGAAGTGGACCTTTGACTTTATGCATGATCACATGATCAATCACTTGAAGTGATTTTGACACAATTTTTATACACTTTATTTGATGTTTGATTCTAACATAATTTTTTATACTTTAACTATAACCAACAAATTTATATAAAATAATCCTCTCTTGTTTCGTTCCTTCTCTTCCTCTCATTCTTATCATTTCCAGCGAAGTAACCTATCTTCTACTTCGTAGTTTTCTTATCCCTACCCTTTTCAAAAAGTTTCTTTTAAAAATTATTTTATATTTTATTTAACCTTACTTTTATATATATTTGCTGGTTAAGATACTTTTCTCGCACTCTCTCCCTTGGGGTGAGATAGTAGTTGGGCATAGGTTCTTGCTAAAGTGAATTCGTCCCTAGTATGATTTATAGGCAGAAGTAAAAAGAGGTAAGAGACCTGTTCCTTACTGATAACACACGCGTCATCTCAGGATACCGAATCATTATAATTTAATGGTTAAATTATAATGAGGATCTTCTCTTACATGGCAGAACCATGGAAGTATGTTAAGTGGGATGATTAGTATCTGATTGGCGGCCCCTTATAAGGGTGACCTTATATTCCTTAACTCTACTGATAACTATTTATAAATTACCCTTTTACTAATTTTTCGTTACAGTGACCCGTGTTACTCATACATCGGTTCTTTTTAATTTTATAGGTGTTTTTCTAATAATCGGTGGATCCCGAGTTAAATGCGGGTCAATATGATTGATATTTATTATATTTTTTAATTTTATTTCACTTTTATGAATGTAAAAAAAAAGTCCACTATTATAATATAAAATAAAATGTAGAAGGTAACGAATATAATCACTCAGTTATTTTTAAGATAAAATCTGCACTATGAAAGTGAAATTTTAAGTAAATTATTTATCATAAAAAAATAAGAAATTTTTAAATTTTTCCATAATTTATTTTTTATTGTCAATTTATAAGGTGGGGCAGTCACGTCTTAACCAATTAATTTATTTTTACTTTGATTTTTTTAATTAACGTTATTATTAGAATATACTATGCTATCGTAAGAATTTCGTCTAAATAAGAATAAAAAAAATAAAACTAATTTTATAATAAATTTCATGATATTATACTGTAAATTTAGTTTGACCTGCACTCTGCCTTCATAATTGAATCTATCGTGTTGCTTTGTATTTTTTTTTTGTATTTGATTGTACATATTATTTTGTAATAGAGTATCACTCTTATCACTTTTTGATATCACGTTAACGATGCTGCAATTTCTTTAGTGCTTTTATTAAGATCGCTGGATTATGGTTAGAAATTATTTTTATTATCCAAATTACGAGTATAATCATACAAGTTTCAATTAGCGGTATTGGAGAAATGTCTTGAACAATCCGACAAATATTAACGAGAAACAATATCTTAATAAGCTGTTTACAAATTACTTTTGAAATTGAATTACAATTAAACAATAAACGAACTTGAATAAGCAGTAAAAGACAAATTATAAATAATTTGTTAAACAACACGTTCCAACCTTCTTTGTTTTATCTTGTTCCTTCATTTTTATTCCATATTTTTATCGTTTTCATACATTATCTTCAATTTTTATTTTCTTTTGGGCTTCCTGTTTACTTTCTTCAGCCTCGATAAATTCACTAAAATTCCTTTTAACTTTAATTTCTTTTTCTTCAGTCTTAATAGCTTCAAATTCATTCTTTACAAATTCACTTTTAACTTTCTCCTCAGACTTAGTAACTTCAAATTCATTCTTTATAAATTCATTTTTAACCTTAATTTCTTTCTCCTCAGTCTTAATAATTTCCAATTCGCCTTCTTTTTCTATCTTTATTGGGACATCATCAAGAAGAATATTCCTTGTACGTAACCAACTTGCTGGTCTATAATGAATATGTAAAACAGCAACTGGAATTGTTAAAATACTTTTAAGCATTTTATTTGAAGCCATTTTAATATCTTGACTTTTTTGAAAACCTGTAGAAATTTTTATTCCCATTTCAATTCCAGTTGATTCAGGAACTTGTACTTTTTCTACTTGATTTTTAACATAATTATCCAATTTTTCAACTTCTTCAACTATATAAAAGTAAACTGATATAGCACCAATTCCTCCAAATATTGATTTTGTACTTGAATACTTTATATTATTATTATTATTATTATTTGAATCTACTTCATTATTATCATTTATCCAATTAGTAACATCAAATTTAAATAAATGTTTTTGTCGTTTTTCATCAAAAAATCCATCTTTTCTTGATTTTGGTGTAGATTTTTGAATTTGTTTACAAGTATGATCCCATTTTCCATCAATAAATAATTTTGCTTTAAGTATTATACAAGATGATGATGATGAGAAATGATTAGATGAAGCACCGAATTGTACAACGTAATTCGTTCCAAGTTCTTCAACAGCTGCATAATAAATTTTATCGCTATATACCAAGCAAAAGTTCAAAGTAATTAAAGTAATTTTTTTAAAGATATCAAAAAAAAAAAAAGAAAATTAAATATCTTATTTGTATTCTTTTTTTAAAAAAATCAAGAAAATACTAATACTATGTTCTATGTATACCTTTTAATCTTTCTTCCAGTTTTCATATCGAGTACGTATGAAGGTCCTGTAGTCATCTATTGTCATTGGAGAAAAATTGAGAAAATTGATGTGATAAAAAGTTCATAATTACAGTAACTTTTTTTTAAAAAAACAAAAAGATATAACATCATATAACATACGATTCTTTTATTAATATGTTCGCTACATTCTTTTAATGGTTTGTTGTTTACTAATATCTTTAAAGAAAATCCTGAATATATCATTTTTTTATTATTATTAGTAATATAAATGGGTATTCAGTGTTAAAAAAAAAATAAATAACGGAGTAAAGTAAAAAAATGAAAGATTCAAATAAATAAGTGTGAAAAAATTTTTTTTTTTTTGAAACGTAAGCTCAACCTTTTTAGAACATTTAGAACAAATAATATAATTATATTGTGATGACATAAAATAAACTTGACACGTGTTAATGAACAATATATTATATAAAACGCGTTTACATCTGCATGGTAAATCATTATAACACACATGGCATACATGACATATCTAGAGTGATACATTTGCTGTATGTCAGATTGTTTTTAAATTCATTCATTGAAATTATTAGAGTTTGAAGTTGCTATGAAAATTTGAATGATTTTTTAAATGCTTTTTATTTTTTTGGAATACTCGAAAGCTCTCGTAAAAAAATATGGAAGTTAGGTTAACGCGTGTTAAATTAAATTATATCTGATATGGGAAATTTTATTTTATGTGATTTTTAATAAAATTTTACTGCGGTTATTCAAAGATCAAAATTTTTACCATAATATCTAATTAAAAGTTAAAGTATAAATAAAGTTTAAAATTTTCTATTTCTAAATTCTAATCATGTTATGATAAAGCGGAGAAAAAATTTTTAAATCGCCATCGGTGTAACACTGTAACACGCAAGAAAGCACTGAAACCAATCTTAAGATAATAAATTGATATCAAAATATAAAAGAAAGAACAATTGATAACTTAATCGCAAACAGTCAAATCTTTTCAACTCAGCTATTTCATACGAATTTCATAGCAATATCAAATGCCGCCGGGTTTTACAGGTTTTAAGCACGGCAATTTTTTCTATTCTATAATTTCAGTGCTTTCTAAATTCTTCAGTTCTTTTATATTCAAGTCTATCCTTCGTTAATGTACTATAGTACTTTACAATTTGTTCGTATCGATATTGGTATAAAATATTTTAGTTTTTCCTAAATTGTTTGACTTTGATCACATTGATCACGTGACTGTTTAATATATCCACGAGAAATGCTTTTTGATAACGACAGAACTTTAGTACTTTACTAAATGTGTCAAAATGCGAGTTGAATAATAACAAATATCTATATAAAGTATCAAACTGAAATATAGCCACGTGATCTGCATTAATTTTGCCTGAAATTTTATTAATTCCGGTCGAAATTAGGATTAATCAGTTAGTTGCCAACATTGTCAGCCATTTTTACTATACAGAATCCTTTCAGTTGTAATGTATTTTCCTGAGTGGCATAAAAATAAAGTTAAAAAGCAGGATCGGACGAATATCGAATAATATTAGGTAATAAGAAAAAAAAATAGAATCGATTGAAAAAACAAACTATGTATACTGTATAGATCTGCAAAAAAAAGTGGATTATCTGTTATGTTCGCCGCAAAAATTAAAGCTAGCAGCATCTCACAAACTAACACTTTTTTCAGTGATACAAAAAAGTTTGTTGCACGCTATCTGCTAAAAGCACAGACAGCTAATTTTTTCTATTCTTGGTAATTTTAACATTTCTCTCTATTTGTAACACAAGCAGACAGATATTATGATTAACGAAATATTAACGACAGATATTTGAAACAGATATTTGTGTGATCGGGATACAGATATTTATGTGATTGGAAACAGATATTTATTTGATTAGCGACAGATAAATATTTAACTAGAGACAGATATTTACTTGATTAGAGACAGATAAATATTTGACTAGCGACAGATATTTACTTGATTAGCAACAGATAAATATTGACTAGCGACAGATATTTACTTGATTAGCGACAGATAAATATTTGACTAGTAACAGATATTAATTTTATTAAACAGGTATTCTACTAGATATGTATTTGATTAACGACAGATACATATCTGACTAGCGACAGATATTTACTTTATTAAACAGGTATTTACTTGATTACAGACAGATATTTATTGATTAGAGACAGATATTTATATGATTGACATATTATGCAGATATTATATTAAATTAGAGACATATATTTATTGATTAGAGACAGATATTATATGAATGATATTATATTTGATTAGAGACAGATATTATATACAGATTATTATTTTATTAGAGACAGATATTTATTGATTAGAGACAGATGTTATAGTTGATTGACAGATTGACAATAGAAATTATTTATCTAAATATCCGATTGAATTTAATGTTTCAGATTTTTTAATATCCAATGATGATTACCTGTTAATATTCAGGTAAATTAACTGTTGAAGTTCAGATAAATTTACCATATCTGATATCGCAAGTAGTAACATAATATTTCACGTGCATTTACAGATCATTTTTTTTTTACTATTTCAATCTATTCTAATCAGGATTTTTTAAATTTTATTCTTTTTTTTTTTTTTAAAAAAAAAAAAAAAAAAAAAAAAAAGATTTTGGATTTTTTTCGGATTTCTTTTTTTATTTTTTATTTTCTAATTCCGATTATTTTAAAAATATTTTTTTTATTTTTATTTAATAATATTTTTATTTTTATTTTTTTTAAATGAAATACCTAAATAATATAAATTTTACGCCTAAAAGTTAATACGTTTTTGGATTAGTTTCTTTAAAAAAAATTTGTTAAAATTTGGATTAGTTTCTTTGAAAAAAAAAGATTTTAGTTAAAAAAGAATCTCATTAATTTCTTTGAAAAAATCTCTTTTATTTTTACATTTTAAAAATTTTCTTTATACCTTTATATTTTTGGTGGAATTGATTCTCGATGCCTCGATATTTATGATATTTATGACAGTTAGTAACTCTGGCAGTAATAACTCGGAAAAATTCGGACTAAATCACTAGCTTCCGAATACGAAAATTTGTAGATTTATCACGTGTACGGTATACCTTTACTATGAAAAACCTGAAACGGATAACGGATACATAAGATAATCAGTTGCACGTTGGAGAGATTAAACATTTTTATTCCTTTTACCGAAAAAAAAACGAATTTATTTTTTAAATTGATAAATTAAGTTATTTTATCGATAATTAATAATTACAGTTAATATATTTTCAACAAAATTAAAAAGTTCTATATCATTATTTGGCAAGATTTACATGCCTAAAAATTGATCCTTTAACTTATTAATGTTTAAAAAATCGTTACATTTTTAACTTTATTAATATTTAATAATTATTTTTTTAAAAAATATACAAATATACAAAAATATTAAAAAAAACACCCATGAATTTTCTTAATTTGGTGATCCATCAGTAAACCATTGGACAAAAAAAAAACAATTTACTCTTTTAATACGTGAAAAAAAAAAAACTTATTCCTCATCTAATCCTATTCCTAACCCTAACCCACATGCCTTATTTCTTACCTTTTTTTAAAAAATCCCTTTTCTTCCTTTTTCTTTTTTTTTAGAATTTGATTATTTCCTTAAAAAAATTTAAATTTTGATTATTTCTTAAAAGTAACTTTTCTTTGTGCTTTTTTTTTTCTTACCTTTTTTTTTAAAAAAAATCTCTTTTCTCCCTTTTTCTTTTTTTTTAAATTTGATCATTCCTTTTTCCCGCTTTCCATCATTTTCTATTAAAAAATTCTATTAAAAAGTAAATATTTCATATGCTTTTTTGTTCTTACCTTTTTTTTAAAAAATCCCTTTTCTTTTATTTTTAAAAATAAATTTGATTATTCTTTTTTGCCGCCAATGATCAAATTTATGGTTTACCGACAGTTCACCATACTAAAGCTTATTACTATAACGGTTAAGCTATCCCAAAACCCCCAAACCTCAAATTATCATTTCGCCACCGATTATTCTTATAATAAATCATTATCATTTATTATACCAATAACTTAAAGTTATTGTAACTGCTCTTAAGAGGATCCGAGGCTTGTGGAGTTTTTTTATTCAAAGGATGCCTGGATGCCTTGCCAGAGCCTTGCCGGCTTGCCCCAAGAAAAATCTTATTTTTCATACTTACTAGGAGAGATATGTGTAGTATGGTTCCAAACATTCCATATTGTTTCGTATGGTTTCGTATTTAGCTTGACATTCTTAATGTCAAACTCATAATGGCAATTGTTGTGGTCAAATTTGCCATTTTTCAAAATGACTTTGGTTATTTGCGCTATAAAATTTAAAGAAAGATTGACACCATTAAAAGTCATCTTAAGTATCATTTCAAATGACCCTCGCCAACGCTGATATGATCATAACGCTGGTAGGATCATTGTAATTTAACACAATGTAGAGGGGCTTAATAGAATATCTTATTTTCTTTTCACGATCATATATATATACCTGTCCGCACTTATATAAATAATGATTTTTTGGGACAAATTAATTTTAATAAGTTGAGTAACAAAAAAAGATTTTATTGAAAAAAATATATATATCATGTCTGATATACAGTGACTATACTATATCCGTTAAATTACTATAAAAAATTTTCTTTCCAATACTTATAATAAAAGCATTCGTAATCATTGTGTTAAATCAAGATAAACTATTTAATTTGAAAATTTTTTTTAATTAGATGAATATATATTTACGGTATATACATATAAAAAAATTTTTATTTAAAAAAAAACATACCTAATTTCATTCATTTATATCATTGTGAGAGTATTGGGGGTAAGAAACAAGAGGAGATGCCTGGTAGTGGGTCTCATAAGAAAAGTTGATTGCGTAGTGTTATTTCCAAATGTAACCGTTAACTCGGTTTTTTCTTTGGCGGCGCGAATTTTGCCGCAGTCGCCATCTTAAACGAGAAATTTTATTCCCGAAATGATTACAAAAAAAAAAAATTTTTTTTTTTTTTTTTTTTAATTACAAGTCAAATAGTTACCACAAGGTAACAATATTGTATATTCGTTTTATTTCTTTAAAAAACGTCCTTTTTGCTCCTTTCATAACGGGTTTCTTTG